CCAAACTAAACGGCAAGCAGCAAAATATAGTTTCAAATCTGGTCAGTCCAATCCTCCTCTTTCCTTTGCATCTTGTAGTACCTTATATTTAGCTCATGTTTTTTTCCCTTGCCATACAAATTTATATATATCCCTTTGCCATTATTTAAATGGTACATCAATTGTCAAGACAGGTATTGTCTAGGATTGTTTTTCCTTAGGTGAACTGAAAACAGATTTAGTACAATACCATTAAAAGTCAGCCCTAACAACAGCAAGTTTGTAATATGCAGTATGTTGCAAGGCAAATATTGAATCCATTTCTGCTGCAGAAATGAGGTGTTACTGGATAATGGAATTAAAGATTCAAGTGTTCAGTGGCTAACTGCATGGCAGTCTGTAGATACCCTCTTGCTAACTATTGCAAGTAGAATTGCCTAAGCACAGACTTTTTAAACATTCTGACCAACCTATGAAATGCAAATGAGTGTGTGTGTGTGTGTAATTTGCATAACATATTGTAAAATGTTCTAAATCACAATTTTTTTTTCAATTTTAGTCTGTATTGTGTCATTGCTTAGCCATATTTGATGTCAAGTGATGAATTTCCCCCAAATAAGTGCAATTTTCACTGAACCTGGTAGCATTTAGAGTCCAACGAAGTGCCTTACACATATTCAATGTTTAATAATTTGTACTCAAGGGAAAGGCTGCCTTTAGCTGTGAATTTGGGAATGTGATTTAGCACATGTTTAAATGATTGCATAATAAAATAGGCACAACTTTTGTGTGGTATCTGCAGTTTTCTAGATCACAGTATGCCATGAAGGCACTACTGTGAAAGCAGTGGGCCTAAGTTCATCATAATGAGTTTTGTTATACATTATTTATTATAACAACCCTGTTATCATTTTCTGAGTATAATTAGCAGTGTCTTTTTAATGTGAATATGATGTCATGGGTAAAATCTACCTATTCTAAACATATATTCCTAAAGTTTTACTGTTCCAGGATATACAACCATCCTTTGCCAATCCATTATTATGGACTTTGTGAGGCAAGATTTGTTAGTTTAAATGTGCATAGTATAAAGTTAATATATCTAGCATGTTGGATCTTCAAACCAAGTGTATTTTAATTGCCACCATCTACATGTTCCTATCTGTTTTTATCTTATTTTTGTCAGAAACATACAGTACATATACAGGACAGTGATACATAAGCTGTTGTCTGAAATGTACAAAATACTGTACTTAAAGAAATGTCTTATCCAAAGTCAGTACAGAGTAGAATTTTTAAAAAGTTTAAAAGCAACCCATTACATACATTTTGAAAGGAGTAAAACTATGCATAAATTATGAACTGTAATGACAGGGTATTATCATTTTCCTCCCCACTGTAATATTTGCACGCTGTTTAGTATATTTCGTAATAAAGAGATACAGTACTGATCTAAAGAGTACTTTTATATGTTCCAATGTAATACCAGTGTAGAACCTTAAGGTTCATCTAAAATGTACACTTGGAGTTTGTTTTCTTAATGCCATAGGATTTTCAGTTTCTGGATCTTTTCTCTCTAGGCCAAACAGCGTGTTAATCTTTTTAAGCAATTTTTCTGGCTTAACTGAATTAAAAAATGTCATTTTCCTAGATACAACATTTAAAAAGGAAAGGGTGTACAACACAGAGTATAAGTAGTACTGATCACTGGAGTTTGTTATTTCAATTTATACAAAAAAGAGAGAGAGAGGGAGAGAGAGAGAGAACCTAAGAACAATTAAAAGAACTACATAACAAACACATAATTGGCATCTGAGATAAATCCACAAACAACCATCAACATACCAACTCATGGACTCTGCCATATGTTCTGAACCCCATGCCTGATAATATAATGAAGTCTTCAAGGCCTTATGAAAGGCCAATAGGTTCGGGGCTAATCTAATCTCCAAGGGGATGATGTTCCAAAGAGTGGTCACCATAACAGAAAAACCTCTGTTCCTGGGTCCTGCCAGATGGCACTTTTTCATAGACAGGATCCATAGCATGCCTATCCTGCCGGATCTGATGAGACAAATAGACACAAATGGGGATAGGCAGTCCCTCAAAATATGGCTCTGTGCCATGAAGGGCTTTATAGATAAACTACCAGCACTTTGGATTGAACTGGCAACAACACAGCTCGCAGATCAGAGGTGTAATAAAAGTTGATCAAGGAGCACTCACAACTGCCCATGCTATTGCATTTTGAACCAGCTGCAACTTTCAGATGCCCTTCAAGGGCAACCCTATTAAAGGAGTTGAGGTAAACTTTCAATTTAATCACACAAATTAGTGGACTACTTACAGCAGATCTAGATTTTGGAAGTGATTTAAGCTGCAGTATGAAGTGGCTGTAAATTTGTCAACGACTTAGTATTTAACAATGCTGCTAAAAATGTAGATTATAATCAGTCCCTATTTTTCAGCTGGTATGTTGAGTAATTGTAAGATTATTATTTATAAAGCTGCAAAGTTTTCCTTTTCAATAGGACAACAGTTACTAAACTAAACTTACCAAAGAATGGATAGAGAACAGAAAAACAAAATTTGAGCATGAATTCATATATTTACATGAATGTCTAATCATCAGATGAAGTAGCCAGCAAGGAAATGTCATGTTATAAAGGACAGGCCAGAGACAATTAATCCAAGCTGAATAGTGGTAATCCGTCACATCAAGCAGTTAAATAAAATAATTGATAAAAAAGTTTCTAGATTCATTCAGTAGCAGTAGTTGACATTCAATGTTTTATTAATTACAGATAGCATCTTAATTTATTTAGTGAGTAAATTATTGTGTAACTGGTAAAAAGTAGCTTAGTAATATTTGCTGTTTATATGTTTCATGTTTAACCTGGCTTTGTTCCAGGAACTGAAGATGGCATCCACACTATAGTAATTCCCCTCTAATTTTACCCTCCTACTAAACCACTGAGGTACATTAAGTTGACCAAGATTTTGGGATTGTATCTATGGTGCTTAACACTTGAGTGTTGCAAATCCTCCCTCAGCCCCACAACACACAAACTCATGTGTTCAGCATAAGGGTATGCAGAAAATAATTCTATATACAGTTGTACAGTTTAGGCATCCCTGCTGAAATTGTATGTTTCAATTAATCCTTACCATGTAGCATTGACATAAGCTCTACATAATATAAATTTAAGAACATCTTTCTTTAAAGATGTTTGAATGTAAGCTTACTATTTATGTGCAACTGTTTACAGATTTAAAATAAGAAAATTGTGAATATGGCAGGTGCAAAGTTTTGGACAAGCTTTCAGTCAGTACTTTGAAACAGCTCCTTTGGCAGAAACAACAGCTTCCATACACTTCTGGAAAATAGTTAAGGTTTCCATTTTATACTTGGGAGAATTATTTTACTCAGAAATACTCTTAAGTCTCCATACATGCACTGTATGGGTTGTTAGGTCAGTCCTAGCAGAGATTTTTCTTGGTTTGCCAGCTAATGCCCCACAGTCAGTGAAGAAATTCAAGCTAAAAAGAGGTGGGATATTTCAGCGAGACAATTAATGCTCCAAAACTTAATTGACCATGAAGTACTTACAGGAGAAAAAGGGTTTGGAATGGCCTTCAGTCTCCAAACTTGAATATTATAGAGATAAAAATAAAACTCTTCTACTTTATAGCAAAGGCCTAATAGCTTGTTCTCCAGAAATCAATCAAACATAAGCAGGAAATGAGGGCAATATATGTGAAACAACTAGTGTTATATAGACCTAATTATTTCAGTATTTTGACCTTGGCTCAGTCTTGTTGTTAAGCAGTAAGTTCAAGCAGCAGAATCTAGAGCAAGGGATTTCTCCCTTTGTTATACAGACAGACAGACATACACACACACACACACACACACACACACAAATGCAAAAATGCCTGAAGGCCAAGAATGTTCCTTTCAGCTGAATGATCCAAAAGGTTGGTCTTTGCAATCTTGTTGCATGCATAATTACAATTGAATAAATGGCTGTAATTATTTTTGTACATCTGAACACTCAGATGTATGAAGGTGACTAGGGACATTTATTTGCTTGTTTAACTAATCTCATACCTCTCTAATTATAAACTGTGGGTGGCTCACACTAAAAAAATGTGGAAGTATCCCAATTATAAAACACAGCATTCTAGGATAAACACACACACACACACACTTTAAATCACAGCACCAGGATAAATACATAGCAGCTATCATATTTAAGAATCTACCCAGTGAAATCCTGGTGGGAGAGGTTAGTCTTAACCGCTTTCCTAAATTAGGACAGAGAATAGGCCATCCTGAGTTCAAAGGGTAGAATGTTCGGTATGGCCAGGTCAGCTACTGGGGAGATCTGCTTCTGAGCCCCATCTCTTCCACACCTCAGGGTAACAAGTACTGAAGTATCCCTTCCCAGGTCAGACATATAGGATGAACTGTCTCTATCCAGAATACACAATCCCAAAGATAACAAGAATGCAAACTATAACAGGTTTTATGCTTATCAGCAATACTTTGAATTGTACTTAAAACTTATTGGGCAGATATGCAGCACCTGCAATATAGGGCATGTTCTGGTTAATGATTCTTACTCATCAGCAAGTAGCTGCGTTTAGAATCAGTTGAAGTTTCTGAAGTCTTCAAAGTCAGCCCCAAGTGGAGCACATTATTGTTCCCTCCTTGGCAGCTGAAATGGAATGGAATGTGAGAGTGACCTTGTAAGATCAGGGAAGGGGGTGGGTGGATGGGAGGAGATACTGCCTAGGGAATGATCACATAAAAGGAGGAGGAGCCCGCAACTGAATAATGGGCAGAGCAAGAAACTTAGAATGGATATGCCCTAACTAATCAGGTGGTAAAAAGGAATGGTGGGAGATTTGTACTTTCAGACTTGCAAGATTCTGTTAACATAGCCTTACAATAAAGTAGAATTAGTTCATCTTAATGGATATGCCCTAACTAATCAGGTGGTAAAAAGGAATGGTGGGAGATTTGTACTTTCAGACTTGCAAGATTCTGTTAACATAGCCTTACAATAAAGTAGAATTAGTTCATCTTGTCGAGTTCCCTGTCTGATCTACTTGGAAGGCTGACATGAAAGAAGCCAGGAGGGACAAGGACCCAGCCTATAAGGAGCTGAGCTCATACTACCAGGATCACTGTCAACTTCTCAAATTTCAAAGGTTCAAAAGAATCCCAGATGCAAGATGTTGGCTCAGATTTCTCATTAGTGTCTGTCTGTGATGTGTCCAGCTATAAGTGAATATGAATAAATTTATTCACCAAACCTCTTGCAAGCATGTTATAGCACCCTGCATAAACTTCCTTCTCATCATTCCCCAAAATGACTGGGTCACCTTAAATAGTGCCACAAGGCAACATTACATGGACTCAATAAGAACAGCGACGTACTGAGCTTCACCATCCTTATCACCACAGTGTAGGTTCAGATCTGGGTTTATACATGTGGTCAGTTCAGTCATTGGTAAATAGATATCTCTTATGTTGATTTATCTGCCAGAACTCCCCTGTGAGATATCCTGAATCTGTGGCCAGAGAGAGGCCACTTGGGTAATCTTGCTAGCACCCTTACCTATTCTGTGTACCAGAGATCAACCAGGTCTACTGTACATACAACTGCCCATCAGATCATTAGGAAATTCCTCAAGCACCACTGGAAACCAGTTGGATCCATAACATGCCCATGGCAGACCATCTTAATCAATTCCTCCCTTTGTGAAGTTCAGAAACTTCAGTGAGCCTCAGAGCCATCAGAAAGAAATCAGACAATGTCAAATTACTAACATAAATGTCCTCCACTTTCGGATCTCAAACCAACTGTTCTGAGATTGGTTCTTTTAACAGTCCAGCAACTTCAATTTAAATAAAGATTCACATGGCTTCATCTTCAGGTTGGAATGGCAAAATGTTGTCATCCTTTGCTTCTTTTTCCCTCTATGAGCTGTTGAAAACAATATTTTATTTTCATTAGAAGCAAAAATGGTAATTGAATTCTTTTCTATTATGTTTACAAATTTGGAGTGATAATGTGCCTTAAAAACATAAGAAACAATCCTTTTCTCTCTGTTCAATCTTGCGTTGACTGTAATGTTTGAAGAAGTTGTTTCAGACCCAGAGAATGTAGCTTTTGTTGAAGAAATAATTATTCCTTCTCAGGATCTAGTTGCTTTGGCTGACCATCTATCAGAGAATCAGTTGGAGATGTTAAGTGAGTGATCTTGACTCCAGAGACACCTTCTGAAATTTACTAAGGTTGAACTTTTATCAACAGACAACTGTCACATTATACTTTAAAAGTGAAAGTGTTAGAAAATAGTATGCTTTGCAGAAAAAGTGAGGGGAAAACCCCTTAGATTTATAATATTAGAATCACATGAAAGAATTCAAGCCTCAAACACAACAGAAATAATTTAAAAGACAATAGCTGACAGCCTGCTAAGATGAATTGAGTCATACAAAGCCTAGTATGTCATAAACGTGTCTGTGTCTTAAACTTTCCTTATGTGGAATATGGGCAGTCCCTTGTTGTCATGGAAAAGGGTTTAAACTGGAGATTTTCTGTATGCAGCTGTCCAAGTTCAATCAAGACTTAAAACTTAAATCCTGTTGTGACAGAATTCTTTTGGACATTTGAACATGACATTTTGCATTTATCTAGGTAAGCACTACTCTGGAATATGCTCAGGGAAAAAATGATGGTCTTTTTGAACTGTCTTCAAGGGTTGTTAGAAAGCATGAAGAATTAAATCATGAACATAGAGGCTGATCACAGAGGGTGATCACAGAGTGAATGTAACATCAAGCTTCTTTTCCCCCAACAGCTGCACTCTAAAATGGGTAAGATTATGGATATATTGGTGTGGGATTACATAATATTATATGGAAATGTAAGTCTTAGAATTTATTAGTTGGCATTTGTTTGTTTCTTTGTTTGAATTTATTAGCCATCCAACTCCAGTGGACTTTGGTATGCGGTATCAAAGCTTGCTGATTGCTATATTGTGCATTACTTCCTTATTTTACGTTCTTCAAATACCTGTTTTTGTGAAGTTCTCACTAAAAAATAAATTTATTTCTGCTCTCTAGTGAACCTTACCTCATGACTTTTTTCTTTGTATGGGCACTAATGATCTCATGCACTGAAGCAGGTAGAAACCAAACAGGACCTGTCAGGTCCCACAGTCAGCTTCTACCCTGAGGCATCCTGTCTGCTATGTGGCTTATCCATGGAATACCCGGGTCCTCAGTAATCACTTAAAAGTGGGACTGAGAAGGGGTATTGTTAGAGCTTAACCTAACATATCTCTGAATATGGCCACTAGATGTCGGATTCTTTTGGTCTTACCGAAATACTAAGAATATTAAATGTTGGAGGCTCAGGTTTTTAATAAAATCTGAGTTATCAATTAGTCTGTTACTTGTGCTGTCTCCATATGTGTACTAAACAGAAAACACTGTCCCTAGGAACAGTTCTCAGTAGCTGGCTTTGGCTATGCTGTATACTACAGGAGGAAAAAGTAATGACAAAATAATAAGCAATTTATTATTAAAGAATCCCTGAAACATTTGTCTAAACTTAAAATATATAGTTTATCATTACTGGTTCTCTTAATGCTTTTGCTGACTAAGATTGATTGATGAATATTTTTATAATTTGACTATTGTTTAGGGATGAGAAATGGGAAGAGGGTTTTTTTTCTGTAAATGCTAACCGTAAATGCTTATGCTTGTTTGGAGGAAGGGGGAAGTCAGTTTTTATATGTCTTTCTTTGTCTTTCTTCGTTCTTTTTCTTTCTCTTAATATTTCCCTTTTTTCTTTTTTGTTCATACATCTTTTTAGTTTAGTATTAGCTTTTATATATGTAAAACTTCAATAAAATATTATACAAAAAGAATCCCTTAAGCAGTGTTTATACATATTGAATGCCATTTTGAATAAACCAGTGCAATCACTTGTGTTTCATTTTTATTCAAGTATATAAAACATAGGATGAAAGACCATGGTCACTATAAATATCATGTCCTTTAAAAATAAAAAGTGTACATCTCTACTGTTTGTGGCCAGACAGCACAGATGCACAGTATTCAGATGATTCTAGGAACCTTTCATCTGTGAATAGGAAGCTTCTATAACTGTTGTCATGGAAGCTATAAAGGAATTCAAAGGAAGAGCTATATACTAATATCTTATTTCTGATTTTTTTGTTTTTCTCTCTCTTTTTTAAATTCTGACTACGAATCACTAAATATCATTTCAATGTTTTCTACTTTAGAATAATAAAAGTCAAGCTGTTTGGCCTTATTCATTGGAAATTTTAATTTAAAAAAAACACTTTTGTCAGGCACTATTTGTTTAATACCTGCAGCATACTGGATGCAAGGAGACAACCTCTAAGAGAAGTCGATTTCAGCCTTTATAAAATAAAAATAAATCAGTGCACACAGTACAGAAGGCTGACAGGAAAATGAGGTCACCTACTGAATTTTTCATACATTCAAGCCCAGGAGGATCTGAGAATTGTATAAAGCGTGAGCTCATTATTTGCATCAGAATTCAATAACTAGGAAAAAATAATGTGGGAAGGAACAAATGTGCAATGTCCAAAGCAGCATGATGCAGTCTGCTTTTTTTTGGTGGGAGGTACTGTAAAGAATTCACATTGAAATTAAAAGGGGTCCTATGGTGTATATTTTTTCAGATGGAATCTTCCTAATATTCAACTGAGCCTAGCTTTGTAGCCTTAATAGTTTGTATTTTGGCACTATAAGGATGGGTCCTGAGGGAGATGAAAATGTCAGCATTGTCAGGTAGTTTTATTGGTGCTGAACTATACCACTTGGCTGCCTGCAAGTAACTGGCAAAATAAATGTTTCCCCTGTTTTGGAGGAAAAAAGTCCTCAGATATGCAAAAACTAGGATAAAAAGTATTCTTTCTGTATACCTGTTTTGTAAAAGGGATATTCAAAAGAACTTTGTCTGAAATGGTGCAGACCAAAAAGACTTTCATATGTAGGCTACATCATCCTTGAAAAAAGCATGAGGTTTTCCAAGAAAGTCTTGACTTAATCTCATCAAAGCAAAGGAGAATCACAGCTATGAACCATAGCATCATGGCCCATCACAGTGACCTGAACACACAGCTTGCCTTACTATTAGGCAGAATAACAATCAACCTCAAAAAGTTAATATTTTTAGGAGTTTAACTTTCTTTCCAAAGGAATACAATGAGTGTATAATAAAAGTGGTTAGACTCATTTGTACTGAGGCTTGCATGGTATAATTTATTGCTCTGTTCAAGACAGCAAACTCTCTTGGGCCAGTCTTGAACAAAGCCATACCATCATCCATTTGCTTATTAAGTACAGCTCAGCAAATAACAGCTCTGATCTGGCATGGATTTGGAAAGTTATAATGCTTCAGAATTTGAAGCCTTCTGCTCTGCATTGCAGGTCTGTGGCTTGGGATGGGATGCTGAAGAATCTAGTTCTTTCCTAACATATTCTTTATGAACTGAAGTATTTATTTTTCTCATTTTCTGCATCTTTTCACAACTATGGGATACCACCCTACTCAGCCTCCATGTTTCTAGATTTTAGGTTATTGCCATAGGCGCAGGATTGTCTTTAGTTCAGATAAAAAGCCACTGTTGGCTGTGATCCTGATAGTATTTTAAACAGCTATCTTCTTGGGCGCTATGACAACGGCTGCAGCATAAGAGCATTGCACAGAATAACAGTCTGACAGCAGCGGAAGTGTGCGCAGAGGAGCTGGTTGCAGCTGATTGAGTTGAATAGGACTCCTTCTCTAGCTATGAGAGAATAGGAGTGCCTTTTTAATAGCTCTTAGCAACGCCCCTGCTTTGACCCTACTCGTCTGTGAGGAAAATCAAATCAATACAACCTTCTCCAAACCACAATGCTTCCACAGCAGCAGGACCAGGACCAGCAGAGCATCACAGCAGCTTTTGTCTCTTCTTAAATTTGATCAAGATTTCTTGCTTTGATGGTCTCTACATTTTTGGATTTAGTTTGTTGTTGAAAGATCTTCACGTGCCTCTCTGAAAGGATCTTCTAAGTTGTCCTGTATGAAGGCTTTTTATACTTCTTGCTTTGATAGTTTGCTGTTGTTATTTTTTTTTTAAAAAAAAAACCTTTGAATTTGCTGACATTTGCAATATTAATTTGAAATGCCATTAGCAACTTCTAATTTTGATGGTAATTGTATATGGAAATTTAAAATATGCACTGTAATAGTAAAAATTCTGACACTCTTGTGATCTTGAGAGCTTGTTTTGAAAAACACTTCTTAAAATTTTCAGTCACCTTTTTAAAGATGTTCTGAAAAAATGTTTAATGACAGATGCTCTGTAATTTACAGCTTTGGAAAGTGAAAGTGGTTTTTTTGCCCCCTTTCCTTCCTAGAGATGGCCAATAGAGGACCAAGCTATGGCTTAAGCCGAGAAGTCCAGGAAAAGATTGAACAGAAATATGATCTAGAACTGGAAAGTCGTTTGGTGGATTGGATTATTATACAATGTGGTGAAAATATAGAGCACCCCCCTCCTGGCAAACAACATTTTCAGAAGTGGCTAATGGATGGAACAGTAAGTAATAATCTGATGTTACATCTATAAAAGTAGGTTTGTTATATAATATCATTTTGTTCCTAAATTTATACCATTTCAAAAAGATATCAGCTAACCAATTAACTTTGGCACTGCATTCCTGACCTTGTTATCTAGCATGTCCTATAGAATTTAAAAGTAACAAAGTAATGTTTCAGATACTATAATGCATCTTTCATTTGTTTAAGATAAGGGCAATTATTATTTCCATCTGTAAACTGCCTTTCTCTAGAATCCAATAAAATAATTCAAACACTGAAGGTGATTGCTTATTGTGACCAGAAGACAGTATACAAAACAGTAGAAAGGGCTGTTCAGAGACAGATGGAACAATGGTTATGTAATATGGGGAATATAAATTATAATGTTTTGATGGTTTACTACAGAGCCTTTAAAACCCTGAGCTTTTGAATAATAGTGTTAACTTGCTTAAAAATGGGTTAGTTTGTGTGTATTTGTTTATGAATGTGCTTATGCCACAATTCTGGTCTGTTTTTACAAGGAATAAGCAGTTCTGACCCTTTAAATGATAATTTATTCATTTACTGAAGGAACAGCACAAAGGTGTTTTCATTTACATGGAAGACTTGGCAAAATTATCAAATGTAGCAATTGTGTTTTTATTAGCTTACTACTTGATACTACTTACACCTGAGCTCAAGCTGTGTTTTGCTCTCCCATGTGACTATCAATTGTTATATAATCTGAAGTGAATAATCTGATTTTGCCTTCTTGATTACATTCATGTATGTTTTATCTGTGGAAAGGGAAGCTTTGCCAAGCATTTTTAATATATTTGGCTCAAATGCATCCATAATCAATGCAGTCAGTAGCATACACTTATGTTGGCATTATGTATTTCATTTGAGGGGCAGGGAGCAGGGGAACCTTTCTAAGTGGCATTAGAATACTCATGAAACAAACAGATTAATGTACACATACTGTATTGCCTTTAGTTGGTGGAACTAATTGATTTTTGTCTCTTTCAATTCTGCTTTTAATGGTCAATCTCCCAGCTGCTCTGCAAGTTAATAAACAATCTTCATCCCAAGGGAAAAGAACCTATTGCAAGGATCACAGAATCAAAGATGGCTTTCAAACAAATGGAACAAATTTCTCAGTTCTTGAAAGCTGCTGAAATCTATGGAGTACGAACAACAGATATCTTCCAGACAGTAGATTTATGGGAAGGTATAGACTTATTTATATATAAGGGTTTGTTTTTTTTTAATGTAACACTGTTTAGGCTGCTCTTCATGATATATTTCTCTAAGGGGAAAATTCCCAAATGCTATTATCATTCTTTCCAATTTGCATTGCCTTTAAACAATGTTCCCTGCAGTAATGCCTTCCTTGTTTTCTCTGAGAGATTTATATTGATGCAGCACTTAATGAAATCTTTTGTACTTATATATGAGTGAAAGATATGTTTTTTACAGAAGCACATCAAAACTAAGGAAATAGCAGTGATATTACAGCTCAGATATTTCAGCAAAATAACAAATTGTCATTTTTAAGGATGGATGAAATGTTTTTAGTTTGCATTTAGATGTAAACATAAACCAATCTGCATTTCCTATACGTAGCCTGGGACATAGTTATTCATGGATATCAATCCTTTCCTAATTTCATGATGTAATTCTTAACTCAAAAATTGTGTATGTATGGAAAACGTACACAGAAATTCAAAAATGTGCATATTAAGAGAAAATTCACATAGAAATTAATTATATTAGGGGAAATCATTACCAAAAATTAATATATTAAGAAAGGTATGTATACAAAGAGTGTATTAGGAGAAATATACACCTATATGCTAAAATCATTGTGAAATTTGGTGAGGCATTCCCCAAAATATCATGATGTGGACATTCACAGTATGGGATAGATCCAATTTTAGATTGGAAAATAAACTTGAGAAATTCACTCATGGCTAGTAATACATGAAATTACTTATTCCATAAACAATAACCACTGTCCTGAATGAAAGAAGACTCATGGCAGATGGGTCTGAAACCTGGTGATAATAATCTTGTCAGGAGAACAGTTTAAACTGAATTCATGTTGGGTGAGGCTTCAAATAGGTATATTGTTATTTCATCTCTAGAGAATGGCATCATAGAACTAGTAACTTTATCTATGGTTTGTTGAAATCCTACAAAAGAGGTGTTTCAAAACCCAGAACAGCAGGTAGAAGACATCTCTTTTCAAATTGGTAAAGCAGCTGAATCTTTTTCCAAGTACTAAAGGATGTTTTAGAAGCTGTTCCTGGCTATCCCAGCATGTATATGCACAGTCATTGCTTCACATTTTTCTCAGTAAAAAAAATGAAGTAACTTTGTGTGCCCCTCTTTTTACTCTGATGTAATACTATGGAATAAAGAACATTCTATGTATGTCTCTTAATATCAGGAAAGACCTGGGCGCCTTTAATGGAGGCTAAATACGAATATTCACTCTGATAGCATCCAATGCATAAATTCAGGCCTTCTTTCAACAGTCTCTTCCTAGCATTAGTAGAATCCATATCATCAGTCATATTGTCCCTGTAACTGATGAGCATGATGTTTCCTTATGTGCATTCTTGTGGTTGATCACCATGTCAGAAAGAAAGTGGGAAAAGACAAAGAGTTTAGGAAAAATTCAACAAAAAGCAAAAGCAGCCATCTTGGCCATGAGAAAAAATAATCCACAATCCATATTGAAGCAACACATTTATTAGGCCAGCTGAAGATTTGCATGAGAATTCATCAGGCAAGATAGTTAAAAAATCCATCTTCCAGGGGCAGACAGAGGAGGGAGGAAAAACATAACTATACCAAATGGAATTGCTTTTGTATGTCTGTATATATTCCAACATTCAAACTATAATTTGATGTATAATGTTTCTCTTTTTCTGGATATATCTTACCTGTTGAGAAATTCTGGAGTTTGAAAGTATGCTTGTAGTTTTGGAAATCTTCAGTTGGTCTAACAAAATGTTACCTTCACTAAAATTTAGTTTATGAACAAAACATTTTATCCACTATTTAGTGAATTGCTCTGTGTATCCTGTACAGGGCAACTTTGTGTATCTTCCAGAAGAGAAGCCAGTTTAATTTTTTTTTCACAAATGACATTTTTCTCACATGGATAATTCCTTTATGAGTACTCTTATGGAAGTCATGTATATGAGTCAAAATAAATTCTTGCACTCCCCATATAAAACAATTGTCCATTCTTGTTACATTTCTTCTTCCTCCCCCCTCCCATTTCCTAGTCTTGTGCAGCAACTGTAAGAGTCCTGCTTTCCCTTTTATATTTATTCTGTGCTTTAAATTAAATTATGAGCCTTCAGGCTTGCCTAACCCATTTACAGGGCCTTTTGTATCTAAAGAACATTTATAGATGTGAAATGATAATGATAGCCAGGAAGCAATGAAAGAGCTCCTGCTAAAAGCCCTGCCGGATGTAGCTACTGGCTCTGAGGAGAAAAGGACAAAGCAATCTTTGCTTTCTGATACTAATCAAGTCTCAAATGTTTCCAAGAACAAGTTAGGCAGGAGGAGGGCCAGTAATCCCCATATTCAAACCTGTCAAATAATATTCTGGATTTTGACCAAGAAGGATGATTTTTACAGTTCAAACTGCATTCCTTTGAAGCCTTCCCCATTCTGGTAATGTCTAGTTATTTGCAGCTGTATTCCCAGAAAAGAATACTGTACTGCCCACACAACTGGAGGGCACCAGGTTGTAGAAGGTTTAAGAATACTGTGATTAGGTTACACTGAGATTAGCTATTTGGATAGCCATTTTCAGATCTCATAGATTCAATCTGTATTATGCTAAGGTTTGGATTAAAAACAGAGAAACCCAAGTTCTAGTGACAATCTTATCTAAGAAGACAATCTCTCTCTCTCTCTCTCACACACACACACACACACACACACCAACTTTTCTCACAGGGTTGTTGTGAAAGAAAAAATGATATATATTTTTTTTACTATGCTTAAATATAAGCATATACCAAATAAAAATACTAAAAGACTAATACAACATAGTGAGCAAAAACTGGGAAAAACATCCACCTGACATCTTATGTTTTTCCAGGGATGCAAAGATTTAATAGAATAATTGTTCATGCTCATTAGGACACTGAACTTGTCCCCATGTTGGGAGGCAGGATTTAGTACTCTGATTCTCCCACCAAATGCCTGGAAATGATTCTTGAGTATCAGTTCCTAGGTCATAAAAGAGTTCTTGTGACTTACTAAAATAGCTGTTTATATGGATGCCCTAAAATTATAGAAGGTGTGTGTGGGTGGGGAAGGGGGAGTAGCAAGCAAAATTGAATTATTATATTTGTTATACATTATGAATATTATTTATTACATTAAAAAACAATTAAAGATATTTAACAGACGTAGTAGTAGAAGTACATAAAATTGATTAAATATTTGACCAGAGTATTCAATAGTCCTGAGGAAACCTATCCTTATTACTTTATTAATAGAACTTTAAAAGATGCCATATTTCATTAAAAAAAATGAGGTCTCTGTATCCTTTAATACATCTTATTTTATGTGTTAATTTTTCCATAGATGTTATATGCAATACTGCTAATTCCTCACTCACCTTAAGATATCACAATATTGTAAAATATTAAGGAGGTTTCATCTTCTGGTCCAAAACCTTGTTTAAGAGAGTTCTATACTGACGCTTTTGAGATTTCATTTTCCAGGTTAGTATGAGACCAGCAGAGTAGGCTAGAGAAATATTTGTGACTCTCCATTTCTTTCGCTAGTGCTAACTGTAAAGAACTTTTATTTAATATTTTTTTTTAAAAAAAATCTTTCCCTTCCAATGCAAGCTGGTCTACATACTTCCCTTTTTAAACATTCCACAGTCTATGAACATGGCATAAGGCCAAGGACCTTTAGAGTGTAGCTCATCCTTCTCCCTTCCTGACTGCCCTGTAGTCACCCTTCTGTTTCAGCCTTTCCATTGTTAGAGTATCATATTATCATAAAGTCTGGCCATGGAGGTGGACAGGAAATTAAGATGGGGAATGTGACATCAGATTTCCTTCTCCAGAACTCGAGTCCTTGTTCTGACTATGACTTACAAGGGAGAGGTCTAAGATCTATGCTCCCGGGGTCAGCATCTTTCAATAGACTTAAAGTTCCTTTAAAAGTTAATGGGAACAAAAAGGGAGAAAGATGGCTTCCAAATCCTCTCCTTGCCCTATGGATGCCATCATTGCATTTCTACATTACCCATTGCAGCCCTCAATGGCTAAAAACAATTTTCAAAAATGTGCCCCAAGGGCCCTTAAAGATGATATTCTCATGGAATTAACAGATGTCCCTTATTACAATGAGCCAGAGCCCTATGACTCACAACCCCACATTAATACTAACTTTTCTGTGGTCTTAGTCAATTTAATAACTCTGTCTTTGTTAAGTGAAGATAATAAAATCAACTTACTTTATGAGGCTGCTGACAGATTAATGAACAGAATGAGGACTGCTCTGGAAATAGTGCTGAGCAACTTTCACAATAATGTAACTGTTGAGGTAGGCCATGAGAACTTATATCCTCAGGCTCTTCTCTGTAATTTTCCATGTCTTGACACTTGGGGTTTGATAAAAGGCATGACTTTGTGAGTGTGGAGTGTGGTTTAACACATTAGAGTTCAGTGTTTGGCTACCAAGACCTGACATTAGTTTTACATGTGTAAAGCTTTCCTCAGACATTCTATGAATGCAACTTGTCAATGCAAAATATGGTTGTGGTGGAAATGAAAATGCTGCCTTTTATCTGTAGAGGATGACTTATCTGCAAAAGGAGCTTCCTGCATCTGTGGAGATGCTTCACACAATTTGAAACTCTGGAATTATGGAGATTCTCCTTCAGAGTGATCCTCTATACTAATGTTCCCCATCTGGACTCCCTCCGTGTGTGGACTTCCAAAACTCCCCAGCTAGCTAGCAGGAGAAGCCCTGTTTGAAAAGGCTATTAGGCACATTAGGCTGACAAGGAGGATAATAGAGTGAGGCAGAACCAGCACTCTTTCGGTTCTTCCACTTGCCTGCTCCCCACATATATGTTCATATTTGTGGGGAAAGAAAAGTTGAAGAAGGTTTAAGAGAACTAGCAAGAGACTGAAAGAAAAATAAGGTGCCTGACATAAGAAGAGGCAACCTAGAATGACCCAAAGCCTGAGGTATCTACAATAGTTGGAAGGCCAATGAGTTAAAAGGCTTGGGACCTTTCTGAGACATATATGGAAAATGCCCAAACATGAGTGAGCTGTATTCTACCACAATAGCATGTTTTAGACCCTATATGCAGCTTGTGCAGGTGAGATTTGCAGCAAACCATTTATTTATTTTTGGGTGGCATATTTTGCTCCATTTGTTGGGGAGGGTAGAACAGAGAAACCCTAAGTCCAACCCCAAATTTTTCCTCCAAATTTGTTCCCCACAAAAATTTGCCAAATCTGATTAGAAAGATATGTAGTTCACTGAAACGTGTAGGCTAAGGCCATAGAGATCAAACATATGGCCAGGTTTCACAAATCCCTAAAACTTGTCTCAGTTATACACTGACAACCATGCAGCAGTTTGTAAGCTAAAGGAAGAAGGAGTTCTGTTCAAGGAAAGTTCTGATAATTCCCTTGTGACCAGAATAAAAATAGAAAACATAATGTGGTAATAAAAATCCTGGGGATTTTGAGGTTAAACATATGTCTATGCAGTACTGCTGAAATACAATCAAACAATGTAACAATAACAAATGAATAACTCTTTTTAGGAAAAGACATGGCTGCTGTGCAAAGGACTTTAATGGCTTTGGGCAGTGAAGCTGTTACAAGGGATGATGGATGTTACAAAGGGGATCCCTCCTGGTTTCACAGGTAAGAATGTGTTTGCTTGTTTCCTTTTCCATTTATAGACTAAATGTGCAGTTTTAATAAAAAACAAATCATAGAAGTGAAATGTATGTTTTAAAGCAAGACACACTAACTTCTGCCTTCTTCAGCTGTCAATGGGAGAGTTAATGACCTCTTTAGAATAGATGTTCAAAAATGTTCCATTTATAATAAATGAATTAAGTTAGATCCAGGGATGGTCTACCCAGGAGTACATACAATCCTTCACTTATTGACCCAGAGCTACTGAAAATGAGAAACATAGTATCCTACCATTTTCAGACAGGAAATATGTAAACCTTTAGTATAAATTCTAAATTTATACTAAATTTAGTGGTATGTCTTGCTTAAAATATTTGAGTCATTCTTTTTAGCAGTGACTCAGATATCTGTAGCAGCAATTGTCCAAGCAATAGCAGAAATATGAAACGTAATTTGCAATTTATTACTATCTGCTGAAACAGTTCTGGAACTATACTCCTTCAGAATTCTGCTCTGCCTCATGATTGCTTTTAAATGAACATATATCTGTGAAAAGTGCCCAGCAGTTCTGACGCTATTTTCCAAAGCAAGTATTTGATATATTTTGTAACATTAACCTCTGGAGAAATGGTGCTTAATCTTGCACACTCTTGCCTTAATGAAGCAGAACATCTACTTAAGTGTTTTCCTGGATGGTGGCCAGATAACTTAAAACCTTAGCCACAAGGAAAGTGGCTGACTGATTTGCTATTTGCTAAGAATATTTTCCCCCTCCCCTCTCAAGTATCCCTTCACAGCAAAATATCAGGTTGATTTAGCTTTCTGATATTAAGATAGTTGATTGAGGGATTGAGAATAGTATCTGTCTACTACAAATCCTTATTTGATAATGATTTGGATTCTTTATTGTTCGGTAACTTTTGAATGAGGCCATGACACCTGCTAGGTTCCAAGAGAGAGTTGGATTAAGACTTTTTAAAAAATTATTTGTTGGGGTAAATATTTTCCCTAAAACACCACCATGATAAATTCTACTTTCAGCACGCCAGATTGGCTGGGGAGGTTTCTATTTCCTTGGGTTAATCTTTTTTAAAGGGAAGTAATGCAAAGCATTTTTTTCACAGTCCTAACCAGTACTGTTTTCACAGCAGGTAAATATTTTCAGGAAACAGAGCAGGATTTTAGAAATGTAAGAGATTTATACTTCCAGTCCGTGACCCCTCAAAGAGAATCCCAAGGACTCGTTGACTTCCATTATCTTAGGACAGAAATACAGCTACAGCTTCAGAAGGGGGAATTCAATGTTAGAAATTTCTTCTTGCCTTCCAAGTGTCCACTGTAGCTCATGTTCTCAAAATGAGGGCAGTACTAACCTTGTACTGTAAAAAAAAAACATAAGGGATGTGGCAGTCAGTCTGATAAACAGTTCAGAATTTAAATCAGGAACAAACATGTCACTTTTAAAAAAGAATCATTTTCACAGGAAAGCACAGAAGAACCAGCGAGGATTTTCTGAAGAGCAGCTTCGTCAAGGACAGAATGTCATCGGCCTTCAAATGGGAAGTAACAAGGGAGCATCCCAGTCAGGGATGACAGGATACGGGATGCCAAGACAGATCATATAGTTTAAACCACCTTTAAACTCTCACTTACCCACTTGATAGCATGGCCTGACTGGAAAACACATAGCTAGTTAATGTTCATGCTGAGATCTGCTTCTAAGTTTTTCTTTCTAAGATTATGTATGTGTGTGTGTGCATATGTACACACACACATGCACACAATCTTTCAACTTAAATTGTGGATCTGTGTGCTTCTTGCGTGTTAGTTCACACAGCACGCTGACACCATATGATGTTCATTTTTGAACTATGCAAAGACTATTTTTCTGTATTTATTTGCAATTTGTTATTTTCTGTATCCTTGTCTTATTGAACTGCCTATAACATCTCCGTCCTTTTCTTTTCTTCTCTACTCTATTCTACTTTCATCTTCTAAAAATAAAAATAAATTGGGATGAATATCTGCAAAGATTTAGGCTGGATATGTTTTTATGCAGCATCTCTATGCTCTGAAATAAATGTTCTAAAATTAGAGTGAACATGCTTTGAAATGCTTTATAGAAAGAACTGAGCTTACTTTTATTCTGATCCTTATTAAGTATACATGCAGACATACACACAGAGAGAGATGCAATGTTTAGCTGATAGAAAGTGATTGGGCAATAGGTATCCCAAGAATTGGTAGTCAATAACATAACCTAAGAGGTAGGAAGATCCCCAGTCCAAGAAGACAAATCATTCCAGAAAAAGGAGTAGCGGCAGAGCAAGAATTTGGACAATCAAAGCTGAGGATTGGTGGGGAGTGTAGTGTTTGCTTGTTCCAGTCAGATTCTGCCTCAAACCCCTGAAGGCCACAGTCATTCACATGTAGACAATGGTCTGACCTAGTATAATAAGGTCAGTATAAGGGTTTTTCTTCTTTTTATATCCCTTTAAACTTTGATGATGTATAAACCTCTCTACCATATTTTCTTCTGAACACACTTACTAAATATTTAGCTTGATCAAGCCAAATTAAATAATAGATATATATGATTTGGCCAACAATATCCATTTGGTGCCTGGTCACCAATTATTTTATACACATGACAGACAACTTTGACTTGGAAATGTTTCAATAGCAAAACATTTCATTTAAATCATAATCTTCACAGCCATTACAGGTAAGTGTCACGAATCTTACCGTTAGTCTTCAGTCCAATGGATCAGGTTCCTTTCATTTAAAGATGGAGGAAATTTCAAATATTAAAATGAATAGGATTTTTACATAATTTTCTCTATATTATTTTGCCATTAACAGATTATCTGAATTCACATGTTATAGCTTTATGATTATCCATTAAAAGGGCTAACACCCCACCCCACCCCACCCCAAACTGAAATCCACAGTGTCTTTAAATCAGGGCTCGGCAACCCAAGGCTGTTTTTAATTGGGATAGACAACTAAGTTCTTCATTGGCTCTTAAACCTTTTTCTATACTCTCTGGTTCTCTTCTTGTATCACAAATACTAAACTTAAGTCAGAGTTGTCTGCCATTTTGGGGATGGAGAAATAAATTGTAGTGTACACTCCCCAAAATGTTTAACATGGTAGTTCAAAAAACAAACACACAAACATCTGGAAAATACAGAAAGTCCCGACTCTATTCATATGTTTGACAAGGCTCTTTCTATTTTGTGTTATTCTCTGTGAACCTTAGTCCACCCAAAAATGTTAATTGCATGCAATGAAGTTTGACCACCCCTGCTTTAAATATATTCAGAAAACCAGAATGCACTCAGTGGGATTCTGCTGAATAAAACTGGCATCGAACTTGATTATCACCAAGGATTAACTTTTATAAAAGAATAAGTCAGTCTTGAATACTGAGGGGAGAGGAGTTCAGAATGCTTTACTATTCATTTTCATGCTTCAGTCTTGTGATAGTTTAGGTTCAGGTCACTTACCTTACCACCTTACCTTCTGTAGCAGTTTCACACTGCTGCAAGGGTACTCTCATTGTTTTTCCTGGACCTTGGAAGGATGATGAAGACAGAAATCTCCACCCCAGAAGTACCTTCTTCCCAACCAAGATGAGGTATGGAATGTGCTTTGCTTTTTGCATCAAGAGCATAACTATTATAGGAACAGGAACATTTACTCCTGCTCCTAATTATTTGTGGTTTTAGGATGCTATCGCCAGCAAAAGTGGGTGTCAGTACAACCCTCTTTTTCCACTAATTTTTGTCTACTTTGAGCCCAGCTCATCCATACTTATAACAAGCAGAAAATATAAACAGAAATCCAAGATATACAGCTAGCCAGCCTACTCCTTAAGTATGTGCTCAGGAATACAGTATTAGACTAGTATAATATCACTAGCAAATGTGTTTGATTTTTTTTTTTTATGATAGTTGCTTCTATGATGTGCTGATATTAAGTGAGTGACAAAAATAATGTTAAAATTCTTCACTCCGAGCCTTGTAATTCTTTCCCACTCAAAGTAATGTTGGAAAGAAATTATGTAAAGGAGCTCAGAACTCTTATCTATCTGTCCTTCTGTCAATCCATCAGTGTGATTGCTCTCTGACAACTGAACTGAGCAGGAGCAATTTTGGTGTGGGAGAGAAGCTGGCAAAAGAAAACTGTGTCAAAAAGTGGGCCAAATCTGGCTGGGGGCTCTGGAAAAATCTATATCATCATTATCAGCAGCAGCAATAACAACAGCTTCATTATCCAGAAAAAGAAAACTCTTAACGCCTCCCTGTGGAAGAGTTGGACATCTCAAATTCTGCTAACTCCTCTATTCTGAGTCCTCATCCATTCTGTCTTCTGGTTATGTGACTCAAGGAGCTAAGCCTATGCAATCTATCCTATGCTATGGGTGGAGCACAGAAACACACAGAGAAATATAATATATTACTTCACTACACTGAAGAATATACATGTGCCTCCAATGGCAACTGCTGGGCAAGAATTTGAAAAGAATTCCAAAAGCCATACTCTGAACCTTGTTTTAATTCAATGTATATCAAAGCTTTCTCTTCTCTTCCCACCCCACGAGAGCTTGGCTGCTGAAGATACTCAAACTCCCCCTTCATTTTATTGAACAATATAACAACAAAGTAATGGCTCAATGTAACTTATTCCCGACAGTTATGAATATAATTGCAATTTAACTAATCTATGGAAATATAGGCAGCTTTCTGCTACACTGTTCATTAAGATGTAACATTTCCCCTATGTTTACCTTTGCCAGTGGAGTCCAAAGTAGCTAGAATTACTCAAACTTACTAGACAAGTATAAAAAAAGATATTCTCTCATTTTCCCTGTGAAGGAGCTTCTTGACTCGTACTCATTGACCCTATCTTACATCCAATCAACCTAAGAAGTAAAGAATTCCTCAAACTGACTCAGCTCCTGGTGACAACTTGGACACTTCCATGTATTTTTCTTGGCCACATGGAGCACTTTGTCATTATTTTCTTCTGTGATGTTACTTTGTTTTTTTAAGTAATAACTATTTTTTAGACATGGGGATTATAGCATTGCTTTATACCCCCCCCCCCAGATCAAAGACAAGGATCTGATTTCAGAGGGAGAAAGTTGATATTCATTTCTCCTTCTTGCCACCTTACTAAATTTTGCAGAGAGATAAATAGCTTTTATGTTGGAATGTTTCTATTTTTATTTTGGATTATGCTACCAATTTAAATTCTATTAGCCCATCCTTGTCTATTTAATTAGATACCACATTTTAGGTACTGCTAACAAGAGTTCTCAATGAGCATTTACTGCTGTGAACAAATTGTTGAAGAGTTAGGATTACCATTTCCATTGTGGTGATGGTGATGGTGATGGTGGAGTTTGAATTATTGGTCTTACTGAATTTTTATCCAACATAAACCCACTACAGGGAGAAAGGTGGGATAAAATGAAATATTTTTTTTCTCTGAAAATAAGCAACTCTTAAATATTCTCTGACTTTATTAGTTGCATAATTTTAAAGGACCACTAGATTAATGCCAGAATATAATAACTGAAAAGTTCAGACTATAGCAACCTGATGTTGGGCATGTTGGATGAAGTCATGCAATATATGACAGATATGAGCTTCTTATTCTACCAAGTGCTTTGCAAATCTATTACAGTAGATGGTTTAGGTTCAATATCAGTATTCTGAAATTCTACATAAAATGGATTCTCCGTTGCTACAGACTGATTCTGCATAGTTACAAGAGTCAAGAAATAAAGGAGGTTTTGAAACTATTTTGAAACTGTTACTGTATAGCTTATTAGCAAATGGGACAGTTTTACTTATAAAGTTATTTCACTTATTCTTCCAAATGAGTGGATACAGTAACATTTCTGATTAGACATATGATTTGTGTCCTCACCACAATACAGTTGTTTGGGGCAATAACCTTGGGTCTCTATGAATGCATCATCTTTGACCTTCAGTAATGTTATAAAATAAAGATGTGTCGCTATGTTCGGGCAGCAGAAGTAATGGATATAGTTGTGATTAATTTAATGGTATAATATGACCTTTGTTTCTAATTAGATTTGTCTGGCAGGGCTTCTTTCCTAGAAATATTTTCCAGCTGTTCTTGTAATTTATCAATTCTAATAGAAAGGATAGTAGCAGATAAAGTATTATGCTTTGTAGTTGAAGCCTGTAACATAGCACAGTCTTTCTTGGCTGAGTGTTTTCTGTGTAAGCTGAAGTCTCAGTGCCATAATTCATAACCAACATGAGCACATTGGTTGAGAATTAGAAAAGCTGTTGGACTTAATCTAAAAGGCATACAGCTGGAAAGACTGGCATAATCTATTGTTCAGGAAAGATGCTGCTTTAAATAAAATTCTAGAATAAGCATACAATATCTGGGCTATAGACATATGAGCAACCAGTATATGGTGGTAAAGTCTTACAGCTTTCTATATCACTTCTTGGCATCTAATCAGAAGGAGTCTGGAGACAGCTTTTTCAACTAACAAATTTCATTAAAAGGCACAAGCTTTCATCAGTGCACTCTATGGATCTGATGAAGTGAGCTGCAGCTCACAAAAGTTTATGTCTTTTAATAAAATTAATTTGTAGAGGTGCTGCCAGACTCCTTCTGATGTTTTGCCACCATAGACTAATACAACTCTCCTCTACCACTGCTGCCATCCAGTGGTTCTCTGATTTTTGCACCTGAGATAAGGTATGCTTATTCTGAAATGGATAGTAAACAGTACTGTAAATCTAGCAGTGGTGATCACTTTGTAACACACAGTGCTGGAGCCCTCTCACACAATCTCATGAGACCCACTTTTTAAATTTTTAAATTTTGTGAACTGGAATTTTGTGAACTGGTTGACAGCAGAGGTGAGCCCCAATGCCTAGCTCACCAATCAGGTGTTTCACAGCTAGTAGCTCAGTGGCAGCAATGGAGCTGGCAAAGCCACTTCTTAAATATTTAGCAGCACAC